CTCCTGACATGCTGGGATTCTGGGATTCTGCAGTCTGAGTAACCTGGTCCAGTGTTGCGGTATCTGCGCAGCTTAAAGATTTCTTCCAGATGCCCAGTTCAAACACTGTCAGGATTAGCACTGAGCTTACTTGGAAGCATTTTTCCCGATAATTCCAGTTTTAAAAGGCAAATCTTGGATGGTGGTATATGAGGGTTTTAGATGCCATAGCTGAAATTGTTGTTTCATGATGGTCAATGGCAAAAACACCTCAACTGCAATAGGTCCAGGATTTTCGTGTATGCATTTGGACCAGATAATTAAGATTATCCTTTCTTAATAAAAATTTTTGAGGATTAATATCTGTACCTAATGTGTGCATGTAACTGATATTTTTTCTGACCTGCTTTCTTGATATGTTTTGTCACCCCACTGAGGTCACCTTATAAACAAATAAGAAACTCTGCCATGCAGCCTGAAACTTGTGCAGTTGGCAAAGTCATGATTCCATGGGTGCATCTACTTCTAAATTCTCCATTACTGGTCTTGCTGCCTTCAAGGTAATTAGGGTGAAGTTTTCGCAGACATCCTTTGTCCAGTACTTGCACCATTCTTTTAAACTCTTCACATTTAGAATGAAATTGAAAATTATTCCCATTTAGTTCATACCTAAAATTAGAGTGCTTGGAGTATTTTCCTACTGTTCTATGGATTGTTCAGCAAGAACCACAGATTTCTGTACTGCAGTAGTAGCACAACCAAGTGTTCTATGCTCAGGTGTTAAGCTCAGTGCAAGGCATCATTTGTAGTGTCCCTGGCAATCCAACAGAGAATATTTTTAATTCCTATGTCTTTTATGGAACAGATTATCTGGAGATGATGGCCAGTAGCTCAGGCAGTGAGAGTATTGCAAGTGTACTGGGGAAGAAAGTAAGGGAGAAAGGCTTTTGGAATATTTCCAAACCAGTTGCTATTTTTCTTGCTAGAGGTGGGACACACAGTGTGTCCAGGCACAGCTGCAGCATCTGGGAGACTGAATATTGGGGGAATCTCTGTAGTGGCACTGAGGTTGAGGGGTTTACAGCTTTATTGTCCTGGTGGTTCTGTCCCTGCCATTGCCTCAACTGAAACGTATTTTTGCTTTCTTTGTATTCCATGTCTTATTAATTTTTGCACCCCAAAGTTTCTGCTCCCCCTCGGATTTCAGAAGAGATTTGTGAAGGTAAATTTTCCGTTTGAAACACAAAGTTTTATTAACAGCCTGGAGTTACAATACAGATAGCGCTAAAAAGCATCCCCCGAAAACGTGCTTTGTGCACTGCGAAAATAGCAGGCGAGTGTTTCCCTGTGGGGTTGTTGCCATGATCCAGTCATTAGCGTTTAAGAATTAAACATGATAGTGTCGTTGGCGTCCCCCCTGGCCAGCTGAACGCGCTCTGTCCTTCAAGTGGATTTAGTTTCCACTGTTCTTTTCCTGGCGTCTTAGCTGGCAGCAAGGCAGGCGAGCTGCCGTGCCACGGGGCTAGCGGCGAGCCTGTTCTTGGGTATTAGATCAGCCTTCTTGACTTAAAATAGTTGTTAAAGTGGGAAACTTCTGGAAACGTGAGACTCGTGTGTTCACAGTCGGTCCCAGCTCGTTGATTGATACCAGCGGCCATTGGAAGTCTGCGGCTGTGGAATTTGTGCCAGGAGACTCGACAAAAGCTGTGCCAAGTGAGACAGCTGCTGCCACACAGGCCTGGTTTCTAACAGCGCCGACTTTCAGCCCGTATGTTGAGAGGTTTTTCCACAGGGATATTGATAGCACAGCCTGGATGCAGTGATTCGTGCGCTTGGGAATTCGGGTCTCTTGGATACAGGGGAAAGGGAGAAGGAAAACCCACAAAGTATTCTGAGAAGGTACCCAGCAAAAATCTGTTTGAGCACTGATGGAGCTTTAATACTCGAGGGGGAAGTGAGGGATGGGAGGAGACAACAATTCAGATTTTAGAGGCGTTAGGGGTTATGTCCAAGTAAAAATATCAATACATGTGTATCCTTACATAATTCTGTATTTAAAAATTAGTTATTCATGTGATCTCATGCATATTTTACATTATCTTTGTCTGCTCTTTGTGCTGTGACAAACAGAGGTTTATGAGAAGCTGTCTTACGTATCTTGCTGCTGCTGTTCTACAGGAAGCTTTCACAAAATCTCCCCAGCTTTGATTCTTAACTTTTCAGTCAAGTCCTGTCCTTACATGGGCGTTTCTGAATGGAAAGTTATAAGCGACTAAAATAAGTCCTTTAAAATCAAACACCCACTAATTCTAACATGTGTGTTTTCAGAATTCAGGTATCTCTTTGGAAAGATGCTCCAGTATATTTATCAAGTGTGAATTTTTGGAGAGCAGGAAAACCCACTGTGTAAAAAATCCTTATGAATTTGTACTTTTAACTGTACCAACTTTACTTTAAATTTCTTCTACAGAAAGGTTTTCTTTCCATTTGTGAGAGATAATTAATTGTAGATATGTATTCAGTACATCAACAATACATTTCTCACTGAGTTTGTGGTTACAGAAAGGCATTAGATCATCATTAGTCTGACATTATAAGCAGACCAAAAACTTCCTCCAGTTGTGCTAATAGAGAATTCAACTGTACTGAATATGGTAAATAAACAAGAAAGGCCTGCAGTCTTGGCCTTTACAGAGAAAACTTCATTTCCTTTTGCAGCTGATCAGTGGTTCATCATCATCATCATCATCATCATGAAAATGTCCCTCTGATTTTCAGTTGAATTCACCCAGCTTTACCACTTGTCCATTGCAGGGGCTGGTTTTTTAATACCATTTCCCACTGTTACTGAGGGTCACAAAATAGACGTAGCATGCTAGAGGACAGGAATCAAATTATGCTTTCTGCACAGACACGCTCTGCTGGCCCAGAGTGAGTAGTTATTTATCTTAAACACATCAAACTTCTGACCTGTAGCTAATTTTTGAGTGCTCATCAGTAACTTTTAAGACAAACACAATTAGAAATAATAGTAATTTAGAATAGCCACATCATAATAATTCAGTGTAGGAAGGAAAACACTGAGTCTTAATTATTTAGTGGTCATAGAACTTCCTATTGTAAGTACTCTAATGGAATATGCTGAATAGATCAGCAGCCATAAAAGAAATTTACTTTGTAGTTTACATCTCAATTATTACAAGGAAAAGAAAGAGAAAGAAGGATTTCCCTGATGAATGAGAGCAAGGATTTTGCATCTGAAATAATAATTTCTAGTTTAAAAGGGGATTACAGTGAAACACTTACTTAAATGATTCCTGGAGATTAACGTGTCTGTAGGGTTAATGTATGCAGTTGAATGTGTTTTAAAGGTTGGTTAAGTGTCCTCAGATCGCTGTAGTTCTCAGCTGCCGAGGAGAACCACACCAATCTACAAAGTTATTTACATTTCCCTGTGTTAAATATAGCAATATAAAATACAGGGGTCTACCAGAGGGTGATATAAATACATTATGAAACCAAAGAAGAAATCCAGAGCCTTTCTGTGTGTCTGTATCAAACAAACCATTCATACACTTGGGTCCCTGTTAGCGAATAAGAAATGCAGTCAAGGATTAAAACAGGTTTCATTGCGTAGACAGACTTCAAACGCGTGTTTGCTCATATAAGTCCTGTTCTTTCCCATTTGGAAATGAAGTTATTAATGGTTTTCATCAGCCTCGTCTGGATTTTTCAGCTTTGTAAACTTCATCTGTGGCACCAGGGAGGTCAGGATGCATGAAAACTTTGGGCTGTATTAGGGAACATGAGGGGATCCTTTCTTTATCTGGTGGCAGAGATACCTAATTCATCTCATGTGCTACAGGAACACTGAACAAGGTGTGACAGTGGCCCTTTTTGCCTTCATTTGCTGCGTTCTTGACATGAACGTGGCTGTTTTACCATGCATTTCTGTACTTGGGAGACTGCTCGTTATTTTTCCATAGTGTGAGCGTGGATTTTTTTCCTTGTTAAATTTACTAACAGTCAATGTGTTGGGGTTTTTTCTGAAATACAGTCAAAGCAGTTCTGTCTGTTAAAAATGGAGAGCAAACTTGTGAATTTTTGAGATGAGTGCTCTGTTAGCAGTGCTGCTTTTGGAATTCCTGACTAGTGGTGTATTATTGTGATACAGGATACTTCAGAGGAGCTAAGGTCCAGCTTCAGCCACCAGCATACTCTCAGTAGTTTTCATCTAAGAACAGAGCTGATTTTTCATAACTGCTCTGTGTTGAAAGTGGAACATATCTCCATAGTCTGACTTTACTGAGCAATTGCAAACCCCTGTGATGTTTTCAAATCACTTAAAAAAGAATAATATTTCAGGTGGATCTGACAAACTTTGTCTCTTTCCTAAGTTGCTGACCAGCAGAGAAGAGAGAAGCTGAGGAAGAAGATAGCCAGGTGTGAGGAGGAAATGAGCGTGGGTAAAGCTGCCTCCCGAGCCAGCTCAAGAGAGAGCGGAAGGCTGCTGCCATCCTCCTTTGGAAAGGTAGAGATTTTAGTTGTGTTGGGTGGGTATCACAGTCACCTTGCCTCCCATAATGACAGTCACCACTGCCGTGCAGCACCTATGGAGGGAGGGCTGGCATATTTCTAGCAGAGAAAATGGACAAGGGACTTCCTGGCACCAGATGCACATCTCAGCCTCCTGACGAGAAGGCAAAGGTACCAAAGCTGGTAGGTGTCTGGGTGAAGAGGGCTCGTGGTACATCCAAGCTCTGGTTACCCTGCGGTTCCCTCATCTCAGCCAAAATTCCCATGTCCTCTCTGTCACTTGAGAGCTTTCCACGATTTCCTAAGGCAGAACTTAGTTACCACCAGCCTTCCTAGCAGCAGGATTCACAGTCTTCAGTTTTGTTTCTGTATCCAAAGTCCTACTTTGGAAATACATTTCATATCTAACAGTGTGTATGTATATGCATATATATAACAGTATATATATATAACATGCTTATACTGCAGTTATTGAAAGTGATAATAATAAGCCATCAAAATAAGTGTTTTTCTGCCTATATACATAGCTTCGCTTATTTTGGCTGGCATTTCATCCAGATATATGGCGTATATTTCCAAATAATAAATAGCCAAATTAATTATATTCTTCATAATAATTTAATTCTTCATCATAAATTACACTGTTTACCATTGTAAAGGAGCAGTTGCAGCTTAAAACAGAATGATGTTTTAGCTCTGTTGATTTTAACAGCAAATGCTCCATATGTTGTTTAAATATCCGTAGGCCTGGAGAACATTTCCAAGCAGTACAGAAAATCACCACTGGTTTCTTTCTGTGTGACTGATTTCTGGAGCAGACGGTCTGAGTGTGACCTTATTTGCAGTGTAGAGAAATGCCGCTTTGAAATTCAGCCCATGGCTCTTAGTTGTGGATGGAAGTGCAGGCATGCATAAGAAAAGGGAGGAAATGTCATATTTGAAATCCAAAGTTAATTTATTATTAATACCATTTGTGTCCTTCCATGTTGTGTTCTGCAAACTGGGGGCAGGAGAAGTTGCTTAAATTATTTCATCGTGAAAGCAAGCAAAGTGTGCTCTAGATTGTATCTGATTCATGCGAGGACGCACTTGTGGTCTTTAATATTGCATTGTAACAGACTGGCAGATTTTTCCTTTGTTATAATCCTTTGCTAAACAAGGTCTTTTTCTGAAGTAATATCAATCACAGTGCTCCTCATTACGTATAGGTGCCAACAGAAACCGCAGCTTTCCTTACGTTTGCCAGCCTAGGGTATAATTCAGCAAACCGAGTCTGCATTTCAGGTTATCAACTGAAAAGTATATTGTAGAAAGTCATGTTGGGAGGCTTGCCAAATTGATGTTTAACCATTAATTACATAAAAAGTAATTTCTTTATAGATTTACAAAGGTAAAGACTGATCTTTGCTAAAATACTGTTTGGCACTTGGTTCATCAAATCCCTGATTGCTGGACTTGGAATATATGTTTCACTGGAGTGTAAATGAGCACTGGTGAGTTAGTAAGAAATAAAAACCTGTAAGTCAGCCTTCTGGTGCCTTAGCTGCTTGCTCTGCTCTACTTATGATACGTTTGAGGAGGAGAAAAGAACGGCCCTAAGCTTCCTGATAAAGAAGGAATGCTTCAATTGCATTTAATGCCATGTTTACCCTGTCCCTTTCTCTTGTTGTAGGATCGACTCAACAGGATCCAACAGAGCACATGGCTTTCATGGGCTGTAGTTGTGCAGTAGTGCTAACATCACTTGGCATATTTTTCAGATTGTCTTCTGTATACTGCTCCAGTCAGCATGCATTGCATAATGGTTCTGCAATTACAGTGCAGCTCCATGAACTGTTTTAATCACCGAGAGTAAAATTACACCAGAAAAAAATAAGCAGTTTATAAACGCACTGAAGGGTACGGAATTCGCTTTTCCAAACGTCTCTGTACGTGGGTTCTGAAGCTTTCCAGTCTTGTCTGTTTTCTATAGCGCTGAGCTACCCCTGCAGGTACTTTAGATGCGAACAATCGCAGGGGTAAAGCCTTGCCACGCCGCTTGCTAACGCAGGCATTTGTTTGGCATTGTTGCTGCGTGTTACCAGTTCAGCGTTTAATTGTGCTGCAGCAGTGAAATGCAGTTGGCTCATGTGGGACGCCATCAAGAAGGGCTTATTTTGGCTCAGCTAACAACAGAAAACCACCTCTCTGCATTAGGAACCAGCAACCATGAACTGAAATAGCATGGATAGGTCTTACTGATTTGGCATAATATTTTTGTGTGTAATTGTTGCGAAGGAAATATGTGATAGCAGTGTGTTCTGTGACTTACTAGTGATGGTAAACTACCTGTATTTTATATTTTGTGTCGCTCCTAAATAGCGTTTACTGCATACCACAAAATCTGCATTCACTTTGTTGAGTTTGAATTTAAAATGTCAGGCAGTTCTGAAAGGGAAGAAATGGAGTGGTGTGGATTCAAAGCAGAAACAGGAGCAGTGTTGTGAGAAAATGCAGCATTTATACAGTGATAGTCACATTGAACTTTTAAGAACACCTTTTTTTAGGAATTTATAGAATAGACAATCTGTATGTGCAGTTAATTACACAGGTTAATACGCTGTACTGTATGTAGCTTACTAGCAATGTATTACTATACTGTATATTACAGGTTTACAGTGAGATGGATTTTTGACAATTGTACAAAGATTTCCAAATTTCTTCTTCTTTTTTGCCATCCCCACCTCCTACACTTGGAGAATTGAAAAGTCTCATAAGTATTAATTATCTTACAGTTCCCACAGGCACTTCCTCCCACAGCTGATTTTGCTGCCTCTGTTGGCATCCAGTCCACAGTCACTGATGGGGAACATCCAGGTTCACATTGTGCTTAGGCCACCGAGCACCACTGGACACCACTGAACCCGTGCTTCAGTCTCACAATAACTTCCACGTGGATGAATTGTGAGATGAGCATGAGTTGCTGGGTGGATCTGAACCTTTTCAGGTGGCAGCTGGGGAAGTCCATCGTAAATAAATGCACATTGCACATGTGTTTAAGTTGTATCGGACTGGATCCACTCTTGCCATAGGGGAGCTATTCGTTCAGTGACTCCAGTAACATAATCCTTCTCCTTACTGGTTTTAACTCGTTTGATAGAAGCATCATAAAGGGATGAATGGGACACAGGTGGAAATCAGCTTCCCTTTCTTCACTGCAGAGCTTTATGGCCTGGTCTCTCCATATCTTCCTGTTCTTTGTGCAGAGGGTGGAGACGCATCAACAAGTTCATCTCTGTGTTAGCCTATCTGAACCTCAACTTCAGGACTGTTTAAAATCTGGTCCTTGGCCTCAGAAATTGAATTTTCTTCTTAGGAAACATCTCTACTTATATACATTCCTGTAAATCTTGCTTAAAAAGTCTTACTGGTTTCTGTTAGTTTGCTGTCTAAGTAGCAGCCTTTTTTACTGCATCCTTTTAAAATAACATTGAATGTGGATTTGGTTCAGAGAATTGAACTACATCTTTAACCTCTCATGTGTTGAACGATTAAGAAGCAGGAGCAGTAACACCATTTCTCTACCGTCACCTGAAATCAAACACATCTACTCATAAACCCAGCACATTGGTGGTGCTGTTTCCCTGTAGTAACCTCACTACTTGCACTATTGGCTTCCTGTAGTGTTAGGGGAACGTTTCACAGCAGCCCATGTACCTGCTGGGTTGAGAAACCCAAAGGAGAGCAGGACAGAACCGTGACGGTGTCTGGTGGAGGAGATGATGACTCTTTGTGTGCTGACAGCAATTAGGACATTGCTCATGGAGCAGGATGCCATCCCACGAGGAAACATCCCGTGTTTGTACGGCCCTGCCAAAGTTGTGCATCTCCCATCTCGGGGAGGAAAAGGGTCACACAGGTTGTATTTATTCTGTGCTGTTAACCACATTGCAGTAGTTTGTGTGTTGGTCTGCATTGAATCAGTGAGTGGTGCCCCGTACAGAATATACATCGTAGAAAGAAGGCCGGTGTGTGGCACACTTAAAATGATTGAAACTCTTGGTCTGATGTAGCCATCAGTACTGTGTAACAAAGCACCAATTCAGTCTGCTTCAGTAGTGAAACATTTTCTTATTACTCTCTTATTTCCAATGGCTGGGTTTTAAAATCTGTTAGCACTGGGGCTAGCCATCAATACTGTGTAACAAAGCACCAATTCAGTCTGTAGTGAAACATTTTCTTATTACTCTCTTATTTCCAATGGCTGGGTTTTAAAATCTGTTAGCACTGGGGCTGCTCTGAAATCAGTTTGACTGTACAAAAATGGAAAGGTTTTACATAGAAAATACTTCTAAGTTGGTAACAGTAACAGCTGGGAGCACCAACTTGAGCAAAGCTGGTAATGTAAGCAATCAGATTTAATTTTTAAATTTTAAGAATTAACTCATTTTAATTTGTTCTAGGGTTTCCGTAAGCAGTCAGATTTAATTTTTAAATTTTAAAAATTAACTCATTTTAATTTGTTCTAGGGTTTCTTGGAAGCAGAAGACAAAGACCATCTCTTCCCCTGTGCTGAGCAGACACAGTACCTATCCAGAGCGCCGTCTCCTTACGGCCAGCACGGCCTGGTGCACACCAGTCCAGGAAAACACACCAGAAAACATTCTCGGAACACACCCAGTGGATGCAACTCAAGCTCAAGCGTCAGCACATCGAGCATACCGAGAAAACGCTCTGGACTTTCCTGCAGCTCCTCCACCGATAGTTTTGTGAGCACTGGTCGTTCCCAGAGGCATCGAGGAAGCAGCTCCAAAGCATACAGTGGGGATCTCCTGGACAGGCACTCCGAGTTCTTTACTGGTAGCCGAAAACCTTTCACTCCACGCACCTTAATATCAGATGCGAAGTCTTTCCTGTCGGAGTACAGGTATTACACGCCTGCTCGAAGGAAGACGAGAAACCACTGCAAGCAGCACGTGGAAGCTCAGACGCAGACTGATGTGATCAGGTACGGAGATTAAGGCTTTATTAGAAACTGGAACTGAGATGTTATCACAACGGTATGTTCAGAAAAGCAGCACGTTTTGCTCTTGTTCACACTTGCATAAAGCCAGAGTCGTTATTCAGAAATTATTCTAGATACGCCCCGGCAAAAGCTGGAACAGAATGTGATTGTCCTCGTTTCACTGGCATGTTTTGTCTTCTCTCTGGACAGCTGATTCCAGCTACACAAACTGGGTACCAGGTGCCCCTAAATCCAAACTGCAGCAGCTCACACCTGCAGGGAATAGCTCTTTCGTCTCAGAGAATGCTCTCTCTGGTGTGTCCTGGTGCTTTCTGAAGAATTAACCACTGTGTCCCCTCTAGTCGCATGCTTTCCGTGTCATTAATTAATATATCATGCAAAGATCCTTTTTTTTGAACTCTTAAATGCTTAAAAACTCTTAGAACTCTAAAAAGACTCTTCGTTGTCTTTTTATCAGTTTAATTTAAATAGCTTCAGATGTATCCTATACGAAATATTTTATACAAAATTAACGTCCCGCTCTTGCATTGACCTCCTTCTTAGCACATCGAACAGTTTTGGTTTAGTTGTTTTTATGGATACTGCTCACAAAGAGAAATCTTTCCTCGTTTGTGTCCTCAGTGCCTGCACAATTTTGTCCTGGAACAAAGTAGGAATGATGATAGCTGTGGCTCCTTGATACTGCAACTATTGACTTTATGGCTGTGGGTCAGATATTTTCCTGGTGCACTTTTAATGTGTAGGATTATATCTCCATTCTGAACAATCATTTTGGATAATTTGGCTATCCCCTGTAAATCCACAGCCAAGTAATGGATTTGGATCACCTATGTATGACTGCTGTCATCCTTCAAAATGAACTGAAACTCAGTGTTATTGTGTGAACTGAAGTCTGGCAGAAAGTTTCTAGGACATTTTAGTACCAGGTGCTATTCAGATGGTGGGAAATTTCCACAGTGGTATTTTCACCTTGCATTTTGGAAGTAGCCTTCTTGGAAATCTAATCTCTGAATTTCGTAGCTTCCCATCTGCAGACAGAGCATCTGGGAGAAGAGCTGTGACTGAAGGGCAGAAGAGCACACGGAAGGTAAAACCACCATCATCTCTAAGTGACAGACCCTTCTTCACACCCTTCACCAGCGTTTTGGAGCATCACCTCATCTCTGCCCCAGCACTTTACAGCTGATGGCAGTTTCATTTCCTTTATTGCCATGAGATGGGTTCGTTCTGTAGAGAAGAGTTTCAGAAGAACGAGTGGGAACAGTAAGAAATAAAACTGAGGCATGGGAAGAGATGTTAGGATATTATAAAATACTATATTTTTTTTCCAAGTGTACTATCACATGAAATTCATTATTTTCCAGCAGAAAAGGTACCTCTTTTCCAAGGATTTTTTCCCTTCATTTTTACATTGGGTAACATATTCCAAAAAGCCCTCAACAGAAGAATTGGCACCAAGGCGTCCCCTCTTCTGAGGAAGCACCCAGACCAGTGGGTAGTGACGTCTTCCCTGTTGCTGTTTGCTTTCTGTCCTGCTGACTGCATCTGGAGTGCTTTAATGACAAATAAAGCCACTCCAGATTCTACCAGCTGCTCGCATTTTTGGTCACAGTCCCCAGAATGTTTGCATCCATCACTTTGATTTGAATTGCTGAGTGTCTGTGACAGTTGAACTGAAGTTTGTGGTCATTTGGTCTTTCAGAAATTGCCTTGCTGCGTGGTGGTGTAAGGTTATTAAAGATGAATTGGAATACCAGCGTATTTGGGAGGCAGAGCAAAGCAGGCAAAGGACCTGAGATATTTGAGGCTTCAAACCTGAAGTTATTTTGTCTTAATTTGTGCTAATATTTGCGTTTTTATCTCTGTATTGTAGGCTGCAGACAGAAGATGCACTGTGGATGAGCGGGATAGAGGAGTAGCTGCTTTTCCATACTCCTTCCTAAGGTGCCTGATGTACAGCAGGGAGGAATATGTGGAGCCTTCCTTCTTGCTTTCTATGTAGTTCCTTCTTAGGCCATGAGTCTTCACTGCCATTGCTTTTTATAAGTCTCACAGGACTTCTGTTTGGTTGGGTTTCTTAGATCAACTTCAAAATCCATTATTTTCTCATTATAAAGGTCTACTGGGAAGCCAGTGAAGAAAAAGAGCTCTGAAATACACGAGTGGTTTTGTCAGGAGTGAGAGCAGTGACACATTAATCCAGCTGTTAGCTCTGTATACAAGCATGCATTGAGCTTACAGACTCTGTATTTCTTATAGAGTGCTGCAAATGAACACTGGATTGCTATTCCAGTTGGTGTTTCCTTGCAGGAAAAAGGCATCAAGCCTTTTGAATCTGTGATCTGCAGGAAGCAGACCAGAGGCAATTCCCATATTTTTTTTCCCTGAAAATGTAACATTTAGATGTAAAATACTGTCTACAACACAAGAGCAGTGCTGGAAATCAGCGCTCAGGGCTCCCAGCCTCTTCTCCTCATTGCTGCCCCAAGTGTCGTACTTGAGTCATGGATTTGCTCTCTGGCTTTGTCATACAAAGGCATCTTTAGCTGAGTAAAATCATACTCTGAGTAACCAAGGCACTCAATGGACAGTGGAGGTCTGGGTGGCATCTGCAGTAACACTGGGGTCTTTTGAGGTGTTATAGCACTGCTCCTAGTGGGGTGTTACAATACTCTTGAATTGCATCCTTTCAGTGTAAGTCATGGGTTTTGCTACTGGAGCAGGGCTTGGGCATGGTTTGGTGGGGTTTTTTCCAAGAGGAAGTGGGATAATGGCACAGGATAGCTCCAGAAGTGAGATGCAAGGCAGTATAAAGGGGTTTTTAAGAATGCTGCTTTCTGCTCTTTCTCACCCTCTGATTTTCTGATTAGAGAGACACCGTTTTATTCTCAGCAGCCTTCAGCGAGGAGGACTGTCGGGGCCGAGTAAGTACACTGCAGCTGCTTTTCTGCTTCCTCAGAACTGATGAACTGGAAACAGTAAATGAGGACTCAGAATAAACTGTAGCTCACAATCTGCAGTTAAATTGACAGATGAACTGTTGTATAATTCTTATTCCTGTCTGAATCAAAACTGAAGAGAATCCATTCTAACTTTGGGAGAGAGAGAGACTTCTCTCATTAACCAGTGGCTGTGCTGTCAGTGTTTCCAGTTCTTCTTTGTCTGTAGTCTCTCTGAAGCAAACTTTGGTTAGATAAAATACTGAGTTAAGGGGCATTCTTACCACATTTCTGCTCCAAAATTTGATGAGGTTTGAGTTATATTCACTGCCCATGCTTTATTGTGTGACCTGAGCAAAGTTGTCTCTTTGTGCTTTAGTTCAGGCTTGTTCTTGCCTGACTTTAGGGATGTAACACAGATACCAGAGATCAGCTGTAGATATCTCTCTCTTGACTTTAGAGGGAACCCAAATGAGAATCTTCAGGCTGGGTGACAAATTCTACGTCATGGAAGTCATGCAAGATGTACCCATGTTTAATTTTCTCTTTATTAAGACTGGAGGATGATTTGGTAGAGCTTGACTGGATGCTTTGGGATATTTAGAAGGATGCTGTCAAAGAGAAACTGCTGTTCCTTCTTGTTTTCCAAACAAAACCCCAACCTTTTGGAGAGTCTCCCATTTAAAGCAATTGGTGTCAGCAAGGCTTTAAGAGGTGTGAAAACAGGAGAACAGAATTTGATCCAAGAGGTGAAAGCTGCATCTCACACTAGCAAGGATTTTGTGCAGCAAAGAGATGTTGTTTGAAAGGAACAGAGGCTGTCAAAGAAGAATTTCTATTTTAGTATAAATAGTTAATACAAATAATTAATACTTTTTGGAGCTTCCATCGAGGAGCAGCGATTTTCAGCTGCAGATTCTCCAGAAGCCCCTTTGGAAGCCTTTTCTGAGAGCACCCAAGGGGATTTGACCTGGTGTTCCCGGTCAGGACCCCGTTCTCTGTGCATGCCAAGCAGGCTCTGAGCGCTCCCCAAGATTTGCCAATTGCCTCACCCAGGGTCTGTGCTGATTTACACCACAACAGAGTTAATGTGAGCACAGAGCACCATTTTACACTGGGTTTTATCGTGACTCCAATCAAATGAAAGGCTTAGTTTGTCCTGTACCTTTCTGAAAAGCAGCAGCTGATGCCAAGAACTGTACAACCTTCTTAATGGCATTTCCCAAAAAGGTGATGGCTCTGCTGCTCTGTGTGATACCTGTGGTTTAAAGCATTTAACCCTGGGTTGTCTGTTCTCCCTGCAGAGAAGAAGTGTTATATTTAGCTTTCATCGAAGACATAACAAGTGAGATTCTGAGCCTCGGGCTGTTTTCTAACAGGTAGGTGAGCGTTGTTTCCAGTGTGCAGTGCTGTGTCAGAAACACGTGGGTCTGTGAGAGAGAGAAGTGGTGTTAGGGGATCATTTCCTTGCCTTTAAGGATACACACACAGCTACCCCTTGCTTGTGTCTCCTTTCCTTTTCTTTGTAAGAAAACTAGGCAAGACCTGTGGGTCCTTCTGCTGCTGTGTACCATGAGGTAAAGCCTCTGTTAGAAACAGGGTGATGCTGTAAGAAATCATTTTACTCTGCTACATCTGCTTTGCTAAAGAAACCGAGTTACTCATCTCTCACAACACACATCCTCCCTTTCCCTCTGTCCTTGTTCCTGTTGCAGTATGAACTCAATCATCAACACAGCTTATCAGGACTGCACACTCGTTCAGATAAGGATGCACCAGTTGCTAAATTAGATTAGAAGCTTTTTTTTGATAATTAAACAATAAATTGTGATACAGTTCATGTATTTGAGTAGTACTCCCAGATTATTTTCCATGCCACTTTTTGTCGTATCAGAAGCTCCGTTCACAGCAAAAAAATGAGTGCAGAATTTCTGATACAGAGTTTTAATCCGTTTTTGTAATTGCATTTTCAAGGCAGTCTGATTTCAGCACAATTTTCTGATCTTCCTCTGGGTTGATCGTGTTCCCAGCAGTTTCTCTATGCTGGGCACTCTCATTTTTTCAATTTATGTCCAGGCTATCAACGAGAATGAGAAAATAATACACCAAAAATGAACAAATTCATCTTTGAGACCTTTCAAGAGCAGTCTCCCCCTGGTTCTGTTGCACAGTAACGCTTTCTTCCCTTAAGACCCTTTTTACACTGCTTCATTTTGCAGTATTCTCTCATGTAAGCTGAATTGAATACACTTGACCTTCTGCAGACGTTCAGTGACTGTGTACCTCAGGTGTCCCACAGCACCTCCCCTGTGCTGCAGTTCTCCCTCATCCTGCGTAAGCAGTGGAACAGAGCTCTCAAGGCTGAGGAGCATCCTCTGAATTCCTTCTCTGAAGCTGGATTTTCTTCCTCCCTTCATTCACACTTGTGCACATCAGCCCCCGTGGTGCAGCTGAGCGGTTCTGGCTGCTCCGCCATGGGGTGCTTGGTTTCTGCCACTGCGTAGCCCCAGCAGCCCACACACAGGGGGGTGCTGCAGATCCCCCATGGGCACCGTCTGCTGCCCAGAGCTGGCTCTGCCTGCTCAGCACACGGCCTCTGTGGGACAGGGATATAATAGATAGTGGATATATAGATATGTAGTAGATACATAGATAAAATACAGATATATAGTAGACAGATTGATAAAATACAGATATATAGTAGATACATTGATAAAATACATAGATACACAGTAGATACATTGATAAAATACAGATATATAGTAGATATATAATAGATATATAGAAGATATATAATATCTAATAGATGATACATAGTAGATATATAATAGATATATAGTAGATGTATAATATATATAATAGATAGATATATAATAGATAGATATGT